AATGTTTGTATTTTATTTTAAACAAAATAATTTCAAACTTATTCAACAGGTGGCGCCACGTTTTACATTCAAAGGTTCTGGATTGTACTTTGTAAATTATAAAGATTTTAATTTTTTTTTTTTTTTCTAACCTAAACATTTTCTCTTGTAAGAATCTTAGTAAATCAAATTTGGGTAGGTTTTACCACCATTGCTATACATCAAGTAGGTTGCCAGCAGACATTTTGGGATTATGGGATAGATAGACAATGAAAATGGTTAATGCAGTAATAAGTGTTGATCATAATTCCATCGTCAGTATCGTGTGTGTGTAAACTAGTGAAACACACAAATTTCATTGGTCACTCTACACATAGAACTCTGGGAATATGTTCAAAGTATATTTTTAATGGAAATTTTTCTTTATCAACAAAGAAGCCAAAAGAACTGAGTTGAAGTAAGACCATGTTTGAAAAGAAATATGTAGAATATTTCACTTTCTTTCTTATTAGTAAGCCCCTCCCCCCAGTGGCTCATCGATACATCTGAAGGCATATAATGCTAAAAAGCCACGTTTTGATACTTGTGATGGACCTAGTACAGGTAGCCCATTATATGGTTTTGTGCTGAACAACAACAACAATTTTACTAGTGATTACAAAATCAGCCCTTTGAAAAAACTTTAAATATCTGAATGTATTATTTTTTTCATACTGGGTCCATCATTGTTACAGTCCTCTCAAAGCCAAGAATTTCTATGACCAAAAAAAAACAATGATTGAAATTGCTTCAGACATTTTCTGTGTAAAATACAAACAGGACCTTGGCAGTAATTAATGGAATTAATTGCAGTATTGATGATATATATTTTTTTACCTTTATTGTGTGGTTCATATGCTATTAAGGACCCGACCCTGTAACTAGAGAAATTTGTGAACCCATAAGCAATTTTGTGCACATATGATTTAGAAAAATGTTTTAAAGGATTTACTCAAAATTAAAATGTGCAGCATACATGTAGATCACAAAGTTTCAAGTTGAATAACACCAAAGAATAACATATTTTCTTATATTTAAAGTATATTATAATCAAATTACATTTTCAGTTCATTAATATACAGCATACAAATATATTTCTAATATACACGCATCTTCTTAAAGACTGTTCTGGATTATTTTTTTTTTCCCCCTTGTATGTCTGTTATATGGAAGAATAAGTTTGGTTTTAAAACTCTACCGTGTGTGTGTATTAATTAAGAACTCCGATAGAAAGTTTAGTCAATTGGAGTTTGTTTTATAAATTAGGTCCTGAACTAAATTAATCACATTCGCTATTTGAAGCTCATTATGCTGGTTATAATGAATGACAAACAAAAGAAGCTAATTTTAACACCTCTGAATTATGGCAACATATTTAATAGTATTCCAGACTTGCTTCATTTGTCTTAAGTAACATTTGTTTAATTTGTTTGTGTAACTTTATTTGCTGCAGAATTAAGCAAATGTTCAGACACAAGTTAGTTCTTTGAATACGAGAAATATGTTTTTATTATCGGTATTGTTTAGGAAATTGCAGATATTCTTAATATTAAAGAAAAGTAGTAATGTATTCCTTTGGAAGAAATACCTTTGAAAGAATCAGTTATTGTAATGTACAGTGTTTTTGTTTCAGTTTTAAGCACCTAAATCTGAAAAAAGCTAATGAAAAAAAGAAGTAGCGAATCGAATCGAGGAAGAAATGAAAAACTGGTTTTAATACATTTTTGTTTCCTCTTCAGTCTCTAGCTTTTTAACTGTTACACATCACATCGTGTTCTCATGTTACTATGGAACTGCTACTGATGAAAGTGGTCAATTAGAATATCTTTATAACTTAGGA